AACAATATGACGATGCTTGTGGGGGCGGGATCCCCCCTTAGGAATGTTTTCATCAGTATTTTTCGGAAGCCACTGGCATCCCATTCCCCCCCCCCCCCCCCTCGAACCAAGTTGATAGTTTGTAAGAGAGCAGTGAAGTGGTGGGACGAAGAAATCAAGCAAGCAATTCGAGTACGTAGAGAGTCACACGCAAAATATGCGGCAGGGAAAACAGATGCAGGATGGAAGGAGTATGTTGAAAGTAGAAAGAGGGTGAAGGAGTTGGTCGTGAAGAAGAAGAAAGGGTTGTGGGAGGAAGTAGTCCAAAAGACTAACGAAGATTTTGAGGGGGGGATGAAGCAAATGTGGGTAGGAATTCAAGGGATAGTGGGCAACAAAAGAGGGGGAGACACGGAAATAACGACACTAAGATCTGCCGAGGGTAAGATGGTAAGCAGTTCTAAAGGAAAGAGGGAAGTACTAGTAGAGCACTACCGCAAACTTGGGACACCCACCACCAACGACAATTCGACTCGGAGTTTGAGAAGGAAATCAACTCGTGGGCAGAGGAAAACGTTGAAAGATCTCAGAGGGAACGTAGTGATGTAGACGGGTTGCAGGGAGAGTTCACACGAGAAGAGGTAGAGGACTGCGTAGCGAAACTCGAGAATAGAAAAGCGGCAGGGGCTGATGGAATTGTGAACGAGCTTTTGAAACAGGGGGGGGAGGGGATGATTAACATGTTGATCCGGATATTCAACTGGATATGGAAACACGAGTACGCGCCGAAGAGATGGAGAGAAGGAGTAGTCGTGAACCTGTTCAAAAAGGGGGATAAAGCTGACCCGGGGAATTATAGAGGGATAACCCTGTTGAGCACAGTGGGGAAACTGTTTGGCAAGATGATAGACAATAGAATGGGAGACATGTTGGAGGGGAAACAAAAGATCAGCGAAGGACAAGCTGGATTTAGACCAGATCGTAGTTGTGTAGACCATGTATATACGTTGAGTAAAATCATCCAAGGTAGGAAAGACGCCGGGCGTACGACATACTGTTTCTTCCTCGATATACAAAAAGCCTACGACACCGTATGGCGCAATGGATTGTGGAAAAAGATGTGGGACATCGGCATCCGGGGGGAAATGTGGAGGATGTTGAAAAAGATGACAGAATGCACAAGAAGTGCGGTGATGTTGGATGGGGAAATTTCGAAGTACGTGGATATACTCCAAGGAGTCGCACAGGGCTGTACGATGTCACTCACTCTTTTTAAGATTTACATCAACGATTTGATAAGGGAGGTTGAAGCAGTAAGACAGGGAGTCCAAGTAGAGGGAAAGAGTGTGTCCGGACTGATGTTTGCAGATGATTTCTTGGGGGTATCCGAAACACCAGAAGGGTTGCAAGAACAAATAGATTCGGCGGTAGGATACACCCGAAAATGGAGACTGTCGGCGAACGTAGGAAAATGCGCAGTAGTGGTCTGTAACGAAGATAAGAAAAATCCCGTAGAATTCAAATGGAAATGGGGGGAGGAAGAACTACCGGTAGTAGACAAGTATACGTACCTGGGAGTAGAGATTTCGAAGGAGTGCTCATGGGACGCACACATAGCGAAGTTGATTGGGAAGGGTAAAGCTCAGATAGGCAAGATGGACGAGATCCTTACGGACCCACACCTAGACACTAGGATTAAGAGTTATATTCTCTTGAAGGTGATTGTACCTAAGCTAGAGTATGCAGGAGAGATATGGGAAGGTAACGAAAAGGCCGTCAAGCAGCTGGAAACGGTGCAGATGGCAGCGGCCAAGAAAATACTAGGATGTTCAAGTACAACGAGCAACACTGTATTGAGAGCAGAATTGGGAATGTACTCTCTTAAAACAAAGAGAGACATGCAGAAGTTGAAGTGGCAGTACAAGGTAAGTAGAATGTCGGACGATAGACTACCAGCCATGGTTGACGAGGCAGCTTGGGGAAAAGCGACTCCAGGGAAGAAGGGAATCAGATGGGACAAGGTGGTAGAGAAGGTTTGGAAGGAGATAGGAGACCAGGAGGAGACGTTGGACACGGAAGGGTTCGGGGGGTTCAAGACGAAAGTCAAGGAGATGCTAGAGAGTAGGGAGGAGACAACCCTTCGGAAGAAGGTACGAAGCGAAGACCACTTGGAGATATACGGGAAGTTGAAAGAAGGGATAGGGATGAAGAAGTACTTGGACGGCCCCATGGACTATGCGAAAAAGCTGAAATTGCAATTTCGAGTAGGCGATCTGGACTTGCCAGAACGGAGGAAGAGGTATACCAGCCGTAGGAGAGAGGAAGAGGAGGATAGACACACATGTCCATGTGGCAAATCGGAGGAGAGTAGACCCCACATAGTTGGGGAGTGTGAGTTGTACAGGAAGGAAAGAGAGGATCTCGAGGAGGAAATGAGACAGAGAGGGTGTGACATGGACAAGTTTGGTAAATTAGACAACAGCGAAAAAACGATCGCGATAATTGGGGATAGATGGTGGGCACAAGAGGCCCTAGAGGACGGGGATAAGATGTGCAAGAAATTTTTATGGAGTTTGTGGCAGAAACGTAAAGAGCTCCCAAATGTTGGTGGTGTCTCTAGTAGGTGTAGGAACGGTGCTCCGTCTCGAAAGGGACACGTGGTCAATGGTCAAATGACTACGGCAAGCAACAAATGAGTACGCCCCCCCCCCCTCGAACGATGATCGATCCTGTGGGAACAATGCTCCGTCCTCTCGAGGACGCGTGGTCAATGATCTAACCGCTAAGGCATGCAAACCATAAGAGTACCCCCCCCCCCCCCCCAAACCTTCCCTACTTCATGTGCCCTCCCCCCCTACCAAATATATCTTGCAGTTCCCCACATCCCGTGGCAAAACTACCTCCAGCTGTCTCTCCACTTCCAGCCGTACATGCTGGGCTTCATGGCGGCGGCGGGGTCTGTCATGACCTGCCTTGGCGTTACGGCATACAAGAACTGCTTCTTTCACGTCTCGTGGCGGCAAGTATAGACAGGAGGGACGGGGCCGTCGCATGTGTCGTCGTCTTTGTTGTTGTCGAAATATCACGTGTCCTCGAGGTCTGTTGTGTGGCGGAAGTGTATGGACGGGTGTTGCGTTCTTCACTATGCATTTTCCCCAGATTGGCGGCGGCATTTTGTGCAGTTATCATCGCTGGTGCCACCTCTCGTGTCGAACACGGGCGTTTGAACGCCCTTCGATAGATTGCGTCCTACATTCTGTTGGCGACGAGTTTGGGGGGGGGGGGCGTGGTGCTCGTGTACTTGTAAACTGGATTCTAAAACACGTCGTCATGAGGGCGTGGTCTCACGTTAAGCGAAGTTCATGGATGATGGGCCAAGGCTGAGACTTTGAGCAGGGCTCTGGCGATGTTGCTGTCGTAGACCATTCCGAGTTCTGGCAGGTGCCGAGCGAGGACTGGAGCTTGTCAGACATGTCGATCCATCAAGGTAGAGAAGGTCCAGATGCGGTTTGCCTACCCTGCGCGGGCGTTAAATGCAGCATTGCTAATAAATCTGTGGGGCTAACCAGTCATGGGGGATCAGTTTGTGTCACATTTCATTCCTATTAACCCTAGGAAACTCGGAGTATATCGCACGATAGTTCAAGGCAAACCTTCGACATGCATGGCCAAACGGCACAACGTACAACTATGCGAAATTACAAGGCATCCTTTGCCCCATATACCCGACTGAAACGCAGGCTGATTTACGGTTGGAGCGTGGTCGTCACGACTATATTTTCCGCCCTGCAGCTGGTGCTGATCTTCGGCCTGAACCAGCGAATAGGGCTGCCCGACTTCTGGTGAGTGTGCTCCTGGCCGCTGCTGCGGAACCTGCCGGAGGGGGCTCGAGCAACCAACCACCTCCGCGACAAACTACGTTCATGAGAAAATACAACAGGGAGGGGGTACGCAGACGCTAACCCTAGCCCTAAGCCTCACCCAACTTCCCCGATTGCATGCTTCATCCAACGTGTATGCTTGTAGAAAAACCCTGCGCGGGCTACTGCGAGGAACACGAAGTCCCGGCTCTTTTGAAGCAAGGGCCGTTGTGAGCGACCTTGGGGCAGCGACTCGCCCTGCGGGCCGCCGGATACATTGGTAGCGATGCGACAGGCCGACATTTTTCACCATAATGTCGTTGCGTTTTTCCCTCTGAACCCGTTCTTGCGCTTGCGCCCCTCCGCTGCTATGTGATGCGCCGCGCTCAAGGTTCGCTCTGGGCGACGATGTCATAACGCAGTACATTCAGGGGATCCAGTTCTTGCCGGTGTGCATCATGGTGAGGATGGAAGAAGAAACACGATGAGCTATCGGGTGTGTCTCCTCTCTAGAGGAGTGTCCATGGCACACGCGTGGCGTTGTATTTTTCCGCTGTTTGTGGGTGTCTTTTTCCTTTGTGTTCTTTCTCTTGGTGATGGTGATCGCCTCGTACCGGACTCAGGGGTTCGCGTTCTCTTTCTCTCTGATACAGTGTTCGTTGCGACAAGCGCACGTACACGCAAGCACACCGGATACATACGTCTTTGTGTGCTCACTATCCCACGGAATCGACCATCATGGACCTGTGTCGCCTCCACCTGTCTCAGTGAAGACGACCCTAGCATCACGACACCACTGGTTGAGAGTTTCTTCTCTTGCTTCTAGAAGGATCTACCCCCCCAATCTTCCCATCCCCCGTCGCCCCCTGCATGGCCGCTTTCCGCTGTTACGTATACCCCCGCACCGCATATTTGGGACACTCTGTCGGCTCCGGCAGTACCTGCGAATGTGTCCAAATGGATCGGAAGGTGCAACGTACGCCGCGCTCACTACCTTCGGGAATATTGCGCTGAACTGCGCGGGTAGCCTGGGGACCCTCTTCGCGAAGGTGTGTGTTCGTGTCGTGAGGATGCCAAGGAGTGGCAATGTGTGTTGTGTCAGGGGGAGTGAGGGAGGGAGCAAGAGGCCAGCGCGGAGGGTGGCCACCCTCAATGTCCGTCATGTGCCGAAAGTGGAGGATGAGTCGTCGTGCCGTCCAGTTTGGCATCACCGCCAGACTACAAGCACGCATCCCTTTTTGCTTCCACGGATATATTTTCTCCCAACCCTCCACCACCCACTGTACCGCCACCGCAATTGTTGGTACGGATTCGTGCCCCGCCCAATTCTCTCTTTGCCATTGCACCCAACTTGTGCGTCCTTGTTGCCGCCGATGGGCCCGCTCGGTGACTGCGGCGGGTGACTATTTAGCTGTGGGACGTTGGGAACGACACGCTCCGAAATGAAGACGTGTCCGGGCTGTGGAAACTCACGGTGCTCACTAGCTTGGTGAGCTGGTCTCTGTGGGTGACGAGAGCGGATGGAGGTCTAGCGTTTTTGTTTTCGTTGTCGCTTCGAGCTTTTTCTCCGAGTGCACAGAGAATCGTTTCGGCGTATGCGTTGTCTCCCTGCCCCCCTCCCTTGTGGTTGGGTGCAATGGTTCCAATTTTGGTGCGTTTAAAGCTGATCGCTTGTTCCCAACGCCCGAAAACCAACATCAAGACCTAGGCGTGCTTCACCTACCCCGCGACACCCCTCCTAATCGTACTACTTGAGTGTGCGAACGTATGTATCACCTGCGTCTGCTGTCTCCTCCATTTTTTTTATCGTGCGGATGAGCGCAGATCTCCCCGGTACCGTTGGTGCTGCTCAGACTTCTCCCGGCAAGCGCGGCCGAGCAGGAAGCGTTGCGGGCGGACACGAAGCGCTCGATGAGGGGCGGCGCCGCGTTTGTGTCTGTTCTGGTGGGGTCTCTCGCGTGGACCCTTGCAGAGGCTGTGTACGTCTTGAGCTCCGACGCCGATGAAACCGGTTGATTGTGACCCCAGGGAGTGACGCCCTCCACGGTTTAAGGTTAGTCTCGAGTTCCTCCACTCCTGCAGTTTTGATATCCCATGGTTGCGGTGCGAACACGTCTCTGCGAAATGACGCTGTCCGTGCGGACCTTGGTAACCTCGGTTCGAGTGGGGGGGTGTTGAGGGATTTGCCTCGCTGCTGCGGACGCTCTCGGGGGGTTGTGTTTGTGATGCCGTTTTGAGGCTAACAATGACATGACATGTTGCTAGATACGTCTTGGATCGGACCAACTCGGTGCCACTTACCTAGCATGTAGATATGTGCAGTTCGAGATTTTTTTGGGCAGGCATCTTGACAGACCTGTGGACAACCTTCATTGACCTACTGTAGGTTAGCATGGCTTGGAGGCTCGGGGAAGAGGTTGGAAACACGATGAATTTTTGGCGTTGGCTTGGTTAACGATTGTCCGCGTAGCGGCAAGATTGGCTCGACGTCTACAGTAGGGTGACTTTTTGGGGTGTTTCTCTTCATGACAGTATGGTTCGGATTTTGGCAGCATAGATCACGAATGATGAGACGTGGACGACAATCTTGGAGAGCTTCTTGGAGGACGTCGCAACACGGTGAACTCGTGCGTGTGCCTATCTATGTTCCACGGTGGATGGAGTTGCTTGTGTTGGGCATGTGTTTCGACTTGCACCACCGCAACACCAACAACTCATTCGAGCAGAAGGCGACGTTCCCAACGGATTGTTCGGTCATGAACAGATTCCCTGTGATCCAATTCCGGTGCAAGCCTACTGTAGCAGAACACTTGCCCTTCTTTACGTATCGGGCGATGCGCAACTAGGGCGTCCCGCCCATGTCCCCAAGCCTTTTAAATAGCCTGGAACTCCATGTCTCCAGCCCCACTACAGTACACTCACCATGACATCTATCTGCTCTCGCTTGCCCCCCTTGAATATAACACTCAAAACGGAACGACCCAAATACTCCCGTATCTTTAGTCTAGTTGATGAGAACGCTCAGCCATGTCACGGAGTTTTAGTGCTGAGGTATGCATACCAACATTTTAACACCTGAGACCACTGTTTCAGTGCTGGTTGCATCCCTTTAATTTTGCGTTGAATGCCGTTGCACCTTGTGTTCCATTCCACGATCGCGCACTGCCCGGCGGAGTTACCACTCACCACGCAGTTTTTTCCTCGGAACTTTCTTTCGCGATGTCGAAAGTAATCTGTGCCGAAAAAAATGGTCGTATTCCGTGTTATGTCGCTACACAGCAAACCGCTGCAAAAAGGCTTATCTAACGTTCGTCTGGCACGCGTCTCTTGGTGAACACATGCGACACATTCACGCATTCATACCTGATACTGTGTACACAATCAATATAATTTGGTCGGGGTCGGGATTCGGTTGGTACGTTACATCACCAGACGTACGTAGACTACAGACACTCATACACACCTCCTTCAGTGTGTCCCGGCTGTGCACTGCAGTGAACAGGTGCCCGCAGGCGCGGCATCGGCGCTGTGGGCTCCGGGCCTGGGCCCCATCGACATGCTACTCTTGTTGCTGCCCTCTCGCCACGGGTACAGCGGTAGTCAAGGAAGTCTAGGGTTGTATGTGCTGTTGTGTGCTGTAGTGTAGGCTACATGTGAACAATTTTTTTTGGCACATTCGCACACGACCCGCAACCAAGGGTGGGCCGTGCGAGTGGCCACGGCCTGAAGCATGGAACTTTAGTGCCAATGCAAACGCAGCAGCTTGGCGTTCTTCCCCCGCCCCCGTCCACAGAGCAAGAAGAGAACAAGATATCTACAAGAATGACGAGACACGACAAGAGAAAAAAAAATTGCCGCAACTTGCCGCACCTACAATATGTACATGCAAGAGGAAACATGTCAGCTACGTACACACAAGAGGAGACAGCTACCAAACTGTCTTGTTGGGCCTGTTACCCGCAGGAGAGATGTCCCTATAAGCTGTCTGGGAAATCGTAGACATACAGGTACTTTCTGACGCTATGAATCCATTGCTAATCTGTCTCAGACTCTTTTCTGTGATAGAGATGGTTTCGTTGTGTCATATTAAATAAGAAAAATAAAAAAAAACGGTTCTCGGTTTCAACAATCACCCAATCATACCGCATCAAAACGAACATGCAAGCTGACTCTATTTCTGTGAGCTCTCTGTGCTCGCTGGCTCTCCGTTTGACTTCAATCCTATCGGCAGCGAGAAGTTTGGGGTGACCGCACGGCTGCGCGCCTGCGGTCGCGTCTGGGGATGGCAGACGTGCGGAGTGGGACTGCCGTAGCGGTACCGCTCAAGCCGTGCTCGGATAGTTCCTTCGGGGGCGGTTTTCCTCCGGCGAAACGGCCGAAATCTCATCGTCCGCAAGGCACCCGCAGCAAGCCAGGCCCCAAGCCAAGACTCAACCCGCAGGACGAGGTCGTGGATGGCGTTCGACGGGCAATGACGGAGACTCTTCCAACCTGGATGAAAGAACTGGAGGATGAGACGGCGTCGTTGTTCGAGATAGCGGTTTCGCTGCCGCATCTGCTGGCGTGTGTTTACTGGGAGTGCGCATTGCAGATCGACACATACAGATCCGAAGCAGGCAAGAAGAAGGAGGAACGGGAGTCCCGCATTGACAGTACCAAGCTCTTTCTGCCTGAGCGAAATGAGGCTTTTGAGGTCCCGTGCCAGCAAGTGATCAAGAGTCTTGCGGTCCAGCTTACGCCGCTGTTGCCCGACGTGCAACCGCGTGTGGTATTGGGGTTTCTGGAGAGCACGCGGTTACATCTCGTAGTCGCTGGGTACCTGGGACTAATGCTGGACGCCACGCTTCAGCATCCCCCCGTAGTCTGGACGAACGATTTCGGGACGGAACAGAGGTAACGCGATCTGTATCTGTCTCGTCTTGTTTTTTACTAACAACAAAGGGATGATTGGGCACAAAAAAGCTGAACACGAGAACCTCACAGCTCACTCAAGGAGAGAGAGCCGTTGACCAGCGTCGTCTTAAACATGCACGTAGACATACATTGCAGAAGAAAACGGGGGGGAGGACTCGTCGACCGTGAAATTGTTCCCGTGGAAACTTCGTATTGTTTTGGATCTTACCATTCTAAACCCATCCTGCCACCGATTGTCAGCACGAATGCCATGAAAGCACTACTTTACTGTTGAGTGCAACGATAATTGCCGCCCTCTGATTATCGTGAGAGGATTGATGGAATATGATATCTCTGTTGTAGCATGTGCAATTGGTTCGTACCGTTTATCCACTACATGCATATATGCATATCACCCTCCGTTTCACGACAACGTTGAAAGGTTCAATCCCGAAATTCACTCAGAGGTGGTTCCGGCAGACGGTCTCCTTGCTGGCGAAAGATGTCTGGTCATTTTCCCCTCTGCGCTGGTGAAGGGGTTGCCACGCAGCAAGCGGTCGACAACCGACGAAGATCGATCCTCGCGTGGCGGACCCCTCACGAAGCGGTATGTTCTACGTATACCCCCGCCGAAGGAGATGGAGGAGATGCTCGCGTGAGTGCGCCCTGGTGTTTTGTGTTGGGTGACAATGTGCCTTCTGTCGTCTTGGAATCTTCTGCGGCAGCACATGTACATAGTCTAGACACAGAAATAAAAATCAGATCCGATTACTTCTTCTGTACATAGGCTCACGGACAAAACCAACGGAAGCCGGGAAGACATCATATGAAAAGGGAGAGACAATTTCCTTGATATTCAAAGGGCGATACGATCGAACTTTCTTCGTCCGGTTGATTCTCCTCGGGCATGATCCAATAGTGTGTGCGCATCAAGCGAACATCCCTGTCTGCGACTTTCAGAACATTGACTCTCAGAAATAGGGAGCGCACCGATGTCAAGAGCCGGGAGGACGCTCTCGACGCGAACGATTTGGGTGGTACGTTATGTTGAGTGTTCTGGAAGCAGTGGCTCCAGTCGTTGCTGCAATACTAGTAACTCGCACAGAACTACATGTAGCTGCCAAGCAAAGCGAAGAAACATTGTTCAGCGCAATGCTCGAAAAACAGGTTATATTTAGCAGACGATATGGCGCATGCTCTGGGCCTTCAACCATCTAGTCGGGCACTTTGATTTCGGTTGGGCCTGACTTCACCTTCCATGTATCAGTGCTTTAGGGAGTTTTCGCACCGGCGGAGATGTTTCGGTTTGGAGGTGGAAAGGTAGATAAGCATTCAGCCCCCAGCGGCGGTCTTCTCGGTGTTGCCAGTGTTGGCGACCTGAATGTGTCTACGAAGCTGTGAGGAGAGGTTGTATTTCAACAACTTGTTGATCACCGCAACTAGCTACAGAGACACAGCTCTCACGCGCTCAGCCCCGTCGCTGATACTTTGCCGTCAACTCCCGTCCCTAACAGAGATGCCGGGAGGACCTGAAACGCGAGGTTACACCTAACGAACTGGCTTTTGGGAGTCTCTACACTACGAGACTAGGCGTGTGGAACTTCATTCTGTCGTCATGAAGACGGCGCAGTCCGCCACAAGGTCGCTCCCAATCGCTCTGGACTCTCCTCTTGGCTGGAAGCGACTCCCTTCAGGTACCCTCACAGTTTCGCAGAGAACGGTAGTTGACTTGTTTCAGACCTTCGGTTACAACATTGTGCACGCGTGTTTCACTAAACGCATGCACAATGTCGTATTCAAAAACTTGAAACAACGAGATTTAGCGTCCTGCGTAAGTGCTGAGGCGCACCTCGGTAACCTGCTCTTGTCCTGCCAAACGTTGAGTGAGTGTCTCACTCGCAACATGGATCGTTGTTCTGGTAGCGGACGAAGCGGTACCTATTTCTTTGTCTGGGCCATGAAAGGCATGGGAATATTTCGCCTTTAGGCTAACCTAGGTACTGGTCCACCCGCCCGATTGAGAAGCAACCCTCGGTTCGCTGAGCTGAGGGGCGAAACAGTGGACGGGGACTTGGTTCCTCTCGATGAGTTTCTTGGTTTTCGTACCCTAGGCCACGACGTGTCTTTGGATATGACTTCCAAGTTTCTTCTCTTCGTTGTTATTAGGTTGTTTACGTAGAGGTCATTCGTTGCAAGCGTCCGTCCGCGCCTGATTTGAGCAACCTACTGGTGTCGGTTAAAACCCACAGAACAGCTCACAAGGGTGTTTATCGTCTCGAGTGGCAAGAGGTTTGGAAGCAACTATCCTCTGGTGCGATGGGGGTAAACAAGCAACCGCAGTTGGTGCGTGTCGTGTGTCTAAGTGAGGACGAGCATGGGATGTTCCAATGTACGATATGCATAGAACCAGTCAACCTGTATTTGATAGTCCTCGGTGAATCATTTCACTCACAAAAGGCCTTCTACCGGAGGAGCGTTGTGGGTCGTTGTTCAGCATCATTCCTGGGGCATGTTTCGATGCACTTCGATGTGTTCGCCGGATTGTTCCCATGCACAAACAAGTTTCCGCCTCTTTGTTTGCCTGATTTTCGGTTCATTAGGCTGCTGGAGTGATGCTACATTATTTGCCGAATAAACCCACGATTCATAAACCCCGACGTCGGGGTGCGGGGATAGATTCTTAAAGTGAATTATTGTGCTTTGTGTGAAGTAGCAGTAGGGACGGTGGTAAGTCGCCCTACAACAGGCAGGTTGAGAGTTCCCGCATATTGGTTTGCCTTACAATGTATAGATGATCGTTCGCCCAGGGCGGATCTAGTGTTTGAATCGATTGTTTTCGGTTTCTGCTCGCTGCAGGGTTCACGCTGGTGACATCTCTGAGGGTCCGACTTGGTGGCGATATCCTCGTCTTTTTTTGACCTGCACGTAGTCCTGGGAGGATGACTTGAATCAAATCTTGTGCGCCCCGTTTCCTAGAGCAGTGCTTTTCGGTTAATCGGGAAGAGTCCTATATTCTACTTATTGCAATGGGCATGTGGTTTTCCGTTAGGCTCTTGGGATGACGCGATTATCCAGCTGAAAAAGTGCACACGAGTGAACGAAGTGGCAGAGGCTCAAGTGTTCATTGCACAGTGATTATGCACCCGCACCACAGAGTCTGCCTGTGGCGCAATCAGGCCGATCGCGATTCCCCACGACACGAACTTGTGTGTGGTTCGTTTGTTGGCATCGACCACGCTGACCTGCCGCAGCTATCTATCCGACCGTTTCAGTACTCGAGACAGATGACACAAAAAAATAGCGTAGATTAAATTTAATCCGCCGCCGTCAGTCTAGCCGATACCTTGTACTACTGCCTTGTTTCGCCGAACCTTCCTCCTTCCTGTGAAAATACGATCCGATTCGTCTAGTCTACTGGTTGAACAACGGCGTGCCAATATAACCCCGGTAACCCTCTAGTCCACCTGAAAGAGCGACACACCACCGTACCAGCTCTGCTCTTTCTCCCTCGCGGCAGCCCATGTAGTCTGGCGGCGGTCGATTGCATGCACCTCTCTCAACCCTAAACACCGCTGGTGCGGAAACCAAGCAGCATAACCAACAACACCCCGGTTACCCTCTACTTGTACTCTCTCTCTCTCTCTCTCTCTCTCTCTCTCTCTCTCTCTCTCTCTCTCTCTCTCTCTCTCTCTCTCTCCCTTTTTTTCCTCCCCTC